GTTTCAGCTGAGACTCTAGCTGGGTCAAATTTGACAAAAACTAACCAGAATGCCTGCCTAACCTATTAAGGAACTGGCGAATCCTGGAAATAAAGTGGTTTTTGTAGGCACTAAACAGTTGTAAGAATCTTTTTTTTCAATTACTACTTAAGTAACTGCCTTCTCTTATGCACAAGATTTTTGTGTGGAGAACTTGTTAAGAGTGCTCAACCAGACTTCTTGAGCCAGCCGCACATGGAAACTTGAGTGGCACCTCTGTGGGGGACAGCCATCTCATCTCCGTTACCTAATGCCCTATGCACAGACCTCTTGAACCAGCCACAAATGGAAGCCTGAGTGGCACCTCTATGGGGACAGCAGTCTCATCTCCATTACCTAATGCCCTATGCAAACAGAGACGGTAGATTTCTACAGTTGAGAAGTACGGTGTCTAATTGCAGCCGACCTCCTGTGATGTGGGAGTTCTAGTGCCAGGCTTCCCATCTTGTCCTTCACTGCCGACTGGCTCATGTACTTTCTGTGTGTTTGTTGGCTGAGGCTAGTCTCAACAGCTGGAGAAAGAATTCTCAGAGCTCGGCACCTGCTTTCTTCTGGGAATCTGCTGGACATATGTTCTTTAATCTTTGTACTGTTGTCTGAAGTATCTTCTCAGTTAATACTCAGACATTGGAACCATCAAGAATCCCCCCCCAATGCATCCTTCTGTCTGAGAGTAGTGTTTATCTAAAGTAAATGTCATCAACATATATACATTTGCAAATGAATAGTTTTACTCAAGTTCTTCAAATGAGATGTTAGGCGATTACTGTCACTGTTTTTCTATTCATTGCCTTAAACATTTTCCCTTTAAGCGTGTGCATGCATACATTCACATGTAAGCATACAGGTACCACTGTCTGAATATGGTTTGAGGATAGTCTTGGGTGCCAGTCCTCATTTTCCACCTTGTTTGAGACAGGTTCTCTTTTGTTGTTGTTCAGGCTAGCTGGCCCATGAGCTTCTAGGAATTCTCTCTCATAGGAAGGGTACACTGAGATGACAAATATTGTATGTGTCAGGCTTTCCTGTGGGTCTGGGGATTTGAACTCAGGTCCTCATGCTTGATCCGAAAAGCACCTTTCACTCACTGAGCCACCTCCCCAGACTTACGTTCATCTCTTATTTCTTTACCCCAGAGGCACTAAAGTCAAGATTTCTGGAGATTTATCTATCAAGGAACAGCCTTGAAATCTTTGGCTATTTGTTATCTTGCTTCTTCTCTCTCTTTAGTTTTATTTGTTTTTGAGACACAGTTTCCTTATGTGCTGTATCTTGCTATATAGTTTAACCTGGCCTTAAACACAGGATGTCCTTCCTCTTCAACCTTCCAAATGTTGGATCATAGGTGTGAATGACCATACCTGACTTTACGATCCCCTTCTCAGCCTCTCTGGTGCTGTGATCAGAAATGTGAATGACCACACTTGACTTCTTATTTTACAACGTAACTATTATAACGTTTAAGAACTTCTAGAATCATAGTCTATACTGTTACGTACTTGGCTCTTTCTTTATAACTTTATCGAGGAAGCAGTTGATGTTTTGGTTGGTTTTCTATTACACTTTAATTCCTCAGTTGTTCCCAAATTGTAGTTTTTATTAATGTAGCCAATTTTCTCCCTTCTAAATGGTAGTGAGGATCATAAACCCAGGAGAAGCCTGCCTCTAGGAAGGACCTCACAGAATGAATAGGGGCAAGCCCCTGAAATATACATCCATCACAAAACATTCAATATAGAAACACAAGAAACATGAAAATGCAGGCAGTATGAGTCCTCTGAAAGTGCATTGACTTCTTATCTGAACCTTAATTCAAATAAGCAGATGAGCAAAATACAAAAGTCAGTGCAAAACCTGAACAAGGAAAGCAGCAATGTGGCTAAAATTCAGCAGTGAAAAAAAAGTGAGACTAGCAGAAATATTGGAAGTGAAAACTCAATAAAACAAAATTTAAGTGCACACACATGTGTGAATCCGCACACAATCTTTGACTGTGGTTATGTTGGCCCACCAACTGGGCACCAAGCATTCAAGCATAGGAGCCTGTGGAGCCATTCTCATTCAAACCATGGCAGCATCTGACATCTTCCTCTCACCTCTGCACACACACACACACATGTACAGATACACACCACACCAACTGTATCCATACATGAGCAAATACTTAACAAAAAGTGTGCTGGAATTTGTTTTCTGCACAATGCTGGCTTGCTTTAGAAGTCTTCAGTTTCTGCAGTGTGAGGAGACAAACGAAAGAGATTTGGATCAGAATAGACACCCATGTATGCAGTCTCCTTCCTTGGTCCTCAGTGCTATGACCCTGGGAGGGTTGCCCTGGGTTGTGGTGATGCCAAGGGCCTCATTTGTTCTTGATTAAAACACATGCAACATCCTTTAGGAAGTGTCAAGTTGTTTCCTCTCCCCGGGCCCTTTCAGTCAACAGATAGCCTGTCTGCAGCAGGCTATAGGAGCTGGGAACTCACAACACACAGGGGAGACTATGTGGAGAGACAGACTAGCTGTGAGTGGCGTGGGGGGGGGAGTTGGAGGGTAAGAGAAGAAAGCCTGAGGGTTCTACTCCCTTCTCCCCCCAACATTGCCCTGGGAACAACTGCCTGCTGTTTCCCTGGAGGAAATACCATTAGAAGTCCAGGTAACTGGGGGCTGCAGACGAAAACAAACAGAGCCCTACTGGTGATAGGTGATGAGGAGAGAGAGAAGCTGCCTGTCACCCCCAGCACGTGACCCGGAGTTTAAGGAAGATGGTGTGATGGAGAGGTAGGGAGCAGTTACCATAGTCTGTGGTTCACCAGGATGGAGATGAGGTGGCTGCTTTTCAGTCTCCCCAGGTCCTATTGACAGAGTGGCTCAGACCCTAAGGGTAGAGATCGAAGGCCCAAGGTCCAGACACTTGGAGAATACCTTTCCATGAGACCCAGAAGGAGACAGTTAAGTAACAGAAACAAAGGGCTTGACACCAAGGCGGCTGGTATTGACAGCCAAGGTTGTCCTCTGGTCTCCACGTGCATGTGTGCACACATGCAACTGTACACAATCGTTCCCTACATGAGCGCACCTGCACACCCATGTACCCACCAGACACGGACCTGTGTACACATAAGCGCATATATACCAAACAAAAGATGCAAATCTCTTACCTTGATGGCTTCTGCACTTACCGGGAATCTGACTTTTTCTGCCTTTGCTCTGGCGTAGCCTTCATTTTGGAGAGCACCTAGAGGAGCCTGAAGAGAGAGAGAGAGGTGGGCTTATTTCTAAAGAATGGTGAGTGAATCTTTAGTTTTAACTATTTTTATTTGTCCTTTGAGGTCTTTCTACTGTGTAGTCCAGGCTGGCCTTGAGAGCCCAGTCCTCCTGCCTTAGCTTCCCTGTGGCTGGCATGACAAACAGATGAGGAGTGGCAGAGGATTCATTTAAAACGGGGCACTGTGCTCTCAAGGAGAACCTAGAATCCTCAAGCATCCCTCCTCTGCTGTGAGTCTCTTTTGTAGCCACTAGATGGCGGTGTGCCAAAGGCTATTCCTCCCATGTCGCTGATTGTCCAGAGGTGCTCCCTCAATCCTACCTCTTTCTAGGTCGCAGAATTTTGCCCAGGAGCTCTGGGCGTGAGCTGGGAGCCTCTCTCAGCCGCTCTCGGCATGCACACGGGTTGCCCCTGCACAGTTCAAACCAAATGCCTCTTGGTTTGGTTAAATGGTGCCCCTCTCCTTGCTTTGGTTAAGTGGTGCCTCTCTCAATTGTCCTTGCCTCTGCCCCCTGCGGCGATTTACAATCGCAGAGCATCACACTGGGAAGTCCGAGATGCCCACAGATTCCCCAGCATTGAAATCTTGAGAAACTCAGCAGCGAAGATCACAAGGGTATGTTGAATGTGTTGAGAAGGCACAAGGTCAGTCCCCTTCTCCTGTCATCTCACAGAGAACCTGCTTGGGTCCTCCTTTCTGTTAGGAATTGTGTTGAGACACCGACTAAAGTGTAGCTAAACAATAAAAGCAAAGTCTGAGTCACCAGGAGCTGGTCTTTTTTGAAGCCCCAGATGAACACAGTCCACACTTAGCCACAGTTTTGCCTTCTTGTTTCTGTTACCATGGCCAACCTTTAAATAGAAAATCCCAGAAATGAACAATTCACAATTTTAAGTAACTTCCATTGCAACCTGTGATAATTATCCTGTTTTATAACTAATAGTTATGGTTAATCTCCTACCATGCCTAATTTGGAGATGAAGCTGTATCCTAGGTATGTAGGTGTAGGGGAAAGCCCAGAGTATTCAGGATGTGGTACTATTGAGGCTTTCGGAGATCTGCTAGGCATCTTGGAAGCCCCCCAAACCCCCCCCCCAACCCCATTAATAATGCTGGCTATTGTTCTACATGGGACTAAAAGTAATTTCATTCAGTCACGAGTTTTTCTTTAATCAGTGGCATAGCATTAATGGCTGTCAATGTATCAATAGGGCTGTAGATCCATTTTATGACACCCTTTCCAGTGGTTAGACACCAACACGAGGCTCTCTGAGAACCTCACCTAAATCCGTACATAATTCACAGGCTAAATGGCTGAGCTGGAAATGTGCCTTGGTGGGGGAAGTGCTTCTGTGTGTGTGTTTGCCTTATTGGATGATAAATAAAGTACTGTTTGGCCAATGAGGCAGCAAGTTAGGCGGGACTAGGAGTCAAGGAGGATTCTGGGAAATGTAGTAGAGAAGTGGTGATCCACAGGAAGTGACATATCAGGGCGACTCATATATAAACAAGGGCAAGAAGGAAGTGGGCCCCTTCTCCTTTACTCCAGACTCACCATGTGATCCACCGGCAAGAGAGGGCACCAGGGAAGGCATCCTCTATAAGATAAGTCTTATAAAATACATAGATTTATGATAATTAAGACTGAGCTAACAGATGAGAAATCCTAGTCATTGGCCAAGCAGCATTTGTACCTAATAGAAGTCTCTGTGTATTATTTGGGGCCCTAACTCGGCAGGCAGAACTCCGGCGGCTGGCAGAAAGCGCCCATGTGGTGGTAGGACTCTGGTGGCTTTTGGCGGAAAGATTTATCGTAACAGAGGCTCTTGTCTCCCTCACTGGAATTTAAAAGGTAATGGGATGATTTAGTGGTTGGGTCTTCCTCCTCCTGGAATGTGTCTGGTAAAATGCCCCAAGTGTGAGCCAGTGCACCGGACCTGTGTTCAGGACTTGCCGGAGATTCTTTTTCAGGCTGATGGCAAAGAGCTTTTGATGGACAATATCTCAATTCTAACCAATCTGTTAAATTCCTATTTTTAGATACCCATTAGTAGAACCCAAAAAACCAGACTCCTCTGTTTCCAATAAACTTTTTCTGGAAACACATAAACAAGCACTATTACGACTTTTACTTTGCCCCTACCAGAATACACCACCCTGCTTGGAAATAGTGTAAACACCAGAGAGCTTTTGTGAACCGTATGCACTCTGCCCTCCTCTCTCCTTTCTCTCCTCTGCTTCCTTCTCTGCTGGCTGAACCCAGGGCTTCACACACGCTAGGCCTGGTACTGCTGAGCTCTACTCCAACCCCTATTGACTATGTACACTTTAATTCTGTTTTTCCAACACAGGGTTTCTCTGCATAGCTCCAGCTGTCCTGGAACTAGCTCTGTAGACCAGGCTGGCCTCGAACTCAAAGGTATGCACCACCACCATCGCCACCACCTGGCTGCACTTTTTATTTTTTTATTTCTTAAGAAAGGCCTCAGGTAGTGCAGGCTGGACTTTAACTCACTGTGTGGCTGAGGAAGACCTTGAACTTCTGACGTTCCTGCCTCCACCTCCCGAATGCAGGCGTGCATCACCATTCCAGGTTTATGTAGCCCCAAGAATGGGACCCGGGGCTACAATCATGCTCGGCCGCAGCATCCACTTGTGTACACCTCTATCTGCTATTTCCGTGAATCAAATGTGCCATCGGACTTTGTACTGAGCAAGGTCTAGTGCCTTTGACACTGTTCATATATGATGAATTGCATTTTAACAGCATCCAATCCCATCTTTCAGCCTGTCATCTCCTTATACTCACCAAGCCGAGCATCACTTTGTAGCCACATGTCTCCCCACCCCCTGTCCCCGAACTCCACTTCCATTGAACCCTGGGTGTTGTGAGGCATTTGCTGTGTTCTTGGTGTGATTTCTTCTTGGACATCGGGCTGTGCTCCACCCTCCATGTCAATCCCATTCTTTCACGGCATTCAGTGCTTTCTTAAGAGGCCTGCAAAGCCATGGCACAGCTCATTTGTGGCACTGAATCTTGTGTGCTCCTTGAACTTCCTTTGAAGGTCACACTGGCACTAGGGAAACACTGGCCTCATAAAACATTAATTAATAAATTGTCTACTCTCTGGAAGAGTTTGTGTAAAACTAGTATTTGCAGGTTTCTTGTTAAAGGTTTTGATAAAATATGCTAATGAAACTATCTGGGTCTTGAATTTACTCAGAAGACGCACCTTGGAAAGCCCCTTTAAGATTTGGGTATTCTAGGCAGGAGAGATGGCTCAGAGGTTAAGAGCACAGGCTGCTCTTCCAGAGGTCCTGAGTTCAATTCCCAGCAACCACATGGTCACTCACAACCATCTGTAATGAGATCTGGGGCCCTCTTCTGACCTGCAGGGATACATGCAGACAGAACTCTGTATATATAATAAATAGATAAATATTAAACAAAGAGATTTGGGTATTCTAAGATGGATGGTGGTGAGGCATACTTTTAATCCCAGCACTCCGGCTGCAGAGGTAGGTGGGTCTCTGAGTTCAAGCCCAACTTGCTCTACATAGTGAGTTCCAGGACAACCAGAGCTTCACGGGGAAACCCTGCCTCAAAAAAACAAAACAAAACAAAAAATGGGGTATTCTACTGCTAGGTTTATTTCCTCTTGCATACCTTTAATAGTTGTAGTTTTCAGGAATTTGTTCATTTTACCTGGATTGCATGATTTATTACCATGAATAAAGCTCTTCTAATGTTCTTTTTATCAGTTTACAGCCTTTCATTCCTGATACTGGTGATTTGCATTACTTTTTATTAATAGTGCTAGGTTTTTTATTTATTTATTTATTTATTTTGGTTTTTCGAGACAGGGTTTCTCTGTGGCTTTGGAGGCTGTCCTGGAACTAGCTCTTATAGACCAGGCTGGTCTCGAACTCACAGAGATCCGCCTGCCTCTGCCTCCTAAGTGCTGGGATTAAAGGCGTGTGCCACCAACGCCCGGCAATAGTGCTAGGTTTTTAAAAACTATTTTGTTAGTCTCTTACTAGAATTAAGAAGGAATTTGAATTTCTTTAGACCTCCCCCCCATTGGTATCTTCTCTATTTCTATTTATTTTATTTTATTTTTTCTGCAGATTTTTTATTTGAATTAGAAACAAGATTGTTTTACATGACAATCCCAGTTCCCTCTCCCTCCCATCCTCCCCTACCACACCCCCCAACTAAAACCCTACTTATCACATATCCTTTCTGCTCCCCAGGGAGGGTGAGGATTTTCCATAGGGTGTCATCAGAATCTATCGTATCCTTTGGGATAGGGCCTAGGCCCACCCCTGTGTGTCTTGGCTCAAGGAGTATTCCTCTTTGTGGAATGGGCTCCCAAAGTCCACATCTATGCTAGGGATAAGTACTGGACTACTACAGGAGGTCCCGTAGATTTCCGGGGTCTCCTCAATGAAACCCATATTCCTGGGGTCTGGATCAGTCCCATGCTGGTATCCCAGCTATCAGTCTTCTCTATTTTTAAAGAGATTTTACTTATTTTATTTGTCTGAGTGATTTGCCTACAGTGTGTGCTTGGTGCCTACAGAGGCCAGAAGAAGGCATTGGGTCCCAGGAACTGGAATTACAGATGGTGCGAGCTGCTGTTGCTGTGTAGGTGCTGGGGCTCGAACCCTGGTCCTCTTTAAAGTGAGTGTTCTTTCCTGATGAGCCACCTCTTCAGCCCCCCTTTCTCTATTTTTAAATTGTCTATTAATTTGAACTATTTCATTAGCTTACTCTCATGCTTGGCTTACTTTGGGCTCACTTCTATCTAATAAACAAAATGGTAGATAATTGACTTAAGATGACCCCTCCCCCTCCCCTCCTGCCTCCTATCTCTTCCTCCTCCTCTCCTTGGTTCTCCGTTCTCCTAACTAGTAGTCACTTCATCAGGGTAGAGTAGTTGCCTAGCACGTGAGAGGTTCCGGGTTCAGCCCCTAGTACCTCAAAAGGATGAGTAGATGTTAATAGAAGCTGGTTGAGAGCTGGGGAGTGCTTCAGTGTTGAGAGTATATGTTCTGAGGGCCTACGTTCAGTTCCCAGCATCCATGTTGGATGCTCACAACTGCCTGGGACTCCAGCGCTGGGGGCTCTACTGCTGTCCTTTAGCCTCTGCAGGGACTCGCACTCATATGTACAGATCCATACTCACTCATACACAAATGCATATCCGTAATTTAAAAATATAACTAGGTAAATCTCAGAGAAAAGAAACGTAAGTGGGTGAGAAAAACCCGAACGAACTTTGAACTCTTTCGTTGATTCATTATTTATCTCAGTTCCTGGGCAGTGATGGATGCTATGACAGAAGTATGAGGGTAGATCCCCCTCAGCTTGTTCATTGCTGCTTTGCCTGCTGGCAGGTGCTAAGGGGCCAGAGGGAAGGTGGGAGAAGGACTCAGATATATTTGTAAATAGAGTGAGTGGGTCTGCCTACTTACTGTTAAAGACCTAACCACCCAAAAGAACAGCTGCAGGCTGCCACTGAAATCAATGTGTCACTGTGGCTTTGCCTGAACAGAGTCACAGCTGGAGGCAGGCACTTTGCTGACATCTCAGTGGCCATGGGCCTGTATAATGCCCTGGCTCAGTCACACACTTGTGTGTGGTGTCCGTGTAGGTGCATGTGTGTGCACAGGCATGCCGAGGTCCAGAGTCATCCCCATCCTCTCTTCCTCCTTATTCACTGAGGCAGAGGGTCCCAGATTACATAAAAATGAAGGAACTGAGGTGGACGTGAGCAAGTCAGCACGCCTGCACACATTTCTCTCTGTTGTGGATGTGATGTGAATAGCTATTTGAAGTTCCTGTCTTGACTTCCCCACAATGATGGACTGAAACCTGGAATTGCACGTTTAGTAAACTCCTTTATTTCCTTATTGGCTTTTTTTTTTGGGGGGGGGTCAGGTATTGTATCACAGTAACAGAAATGAAACCAGAACACACACACACACACACACACACACACACACACACACACACACACACACACAGAGAGAGAGAGAGAGAGAGAGAGAGAGAGAGAGACTCAGTCATCAATGGGCAACCACTACCTAGGGTTTAGGGAAGTCATGCAGGCCACCGAGGAGGTAGTCACCTTCAAGATGCCTCGTGTGACAGGGGATAGCGTAAGCAGACTGTGTCCCTGAAGGAAGCCTGTGGGATGTCTCCAGAATGGGCCCATCAGGCCTTTCCCATGTTTCTCTCCCAAGCCTGAGTTCACTGTCTCTGGCTGCACCCTATAGCTTCAGCATCCACAGGGCCAACGTCAGGGCTTTGGAGCTGAAATATTGGGCTAATCCAGTGCTCCTGCATGTAATGGTTTCCGTCTTGTTGTTGGAGTGATGCGAGCTAAGTGATTAATGGCGACTACAAATCAGCGTCGTCACTTTCCAAATGGCAAGGGGCAGATGCGATGGCTCTCAGCACTAAAAAACAGCAAATGTTCCCCTTCTGTGCTTTTTTTTTTTTAAGAGTGGGAGGAAAAATAGTGACTTGCAAGGATTTGCTGCTCTTGGAAAATTGGGCTTTACCTTAAATCACCCAACTTGGTTCTCAACTCCATTCTCCTGCAGCTCTGCCTTAATGTTCCCAGGAGGCCCGGGACACACTTGGCTTCTTTGCAGCTGTACATAGCAAGTCGTCCCCCCCCCTCCCCGCTTGATGTATTAGTTCTATGTACCCCTTGCTCTGTTGCAAGCAGAGGTGTCCAATGCAGGGCATGGTCCCACACTTAAATCTGATTGTCTTATCAGGCTCCTCTCTCCTGAACGAGCTCTTGTAGCAGAGAGTTGGTGGCTTCGTTAGGTAGAAAAAAGGCCAGGCTTCGGCACTTCTCAGCTGCCAGTCAATCATCTCATTCTAATCTGCTAAGTGATGTCATCTACTGATGTGGAGGCAAACTGCGCTTAAAATTACACAAAGTCTTTCAGAGTTTTGAAGAGTATACATCTGCTGTAGACATCAAATGCCCGAAGAGCAGCAGCTTCGAGAAGAAAGGGCTTACTTGGTTCAGGGTTTAGAAGGGACACGGCCTACAGTGTGGGATGTGATGGTGGCAGGAGTGTGCCTGGTCACATTGCATCTGCAGAGAGCAGGGAGCAGAGAGCAGACAAGAAGTGGGACTGGGCTGTAGAACCCCAAGGCTGCTCTCCCAGGCACTCATTTCTTCCAGTAGAGCTCCAACTCTTACAGGCTTCACAACCTTTCAAACAGATCGGCCAAGCCAGATACTTTGATCTAGAATCAAGGGTCATGCACGATGGACAATTCCCAATATGTGATTGCTTTTCAGCTCATGATCTCAAGCAGCAGTATATCAGTGACTTTTCTGTTACTGTGATAAAATACCAGGACCAAAGACAAGCATCTACCAGGGCTTATGGTTCCAGAGGGAGAGTCCATAACGGCAGGAGAGGCATGCCCCCTGGTGGCCAAAGCAAGAAGCTCACAGATCATATTTCTTCACACAGGAATCTGGCAGAGTGAAGTGGAATGGGCCAAGGCTGTACACCCCCGATGCCTGCTCTCAATGACATGCTTCCTCCAGCAAGGCTGTGTGTATCCTGATGGTTAGGAAGTACATAACCTCCCCCACAGTGTCACCAGCTGGGGAAACAAATGTTCAAATACATGAGCCTGTGGGGGACATTTTCATTCAAACCACCATAATCAGCTGCCTCTGTCTGTCTTGATATGTGTATATTGAAAGTTGCTTATGTCAAAGGTGAAAGAGAGGTTTAGTAGATGGAAATATTTATTTATGCAAAGCTCTGTTTACTTTTCAGTATGGATCTAATTAGGGAAGCCAGTGCAAAGGTACCGTGTGGCAATGCATGTATGTACCTGTGTTTGGTAGTGTGTGTGTGTGTGTGTGTGTGTGCGCGTGCACGCATGAGCATGTGTAAATAGAGCTGAGTTAGCCAGGCGTTGGTGGCACACTCCTTTAATCCCAGCGCTCGGGAGGCATAGGCAGGCGGACCTCAGTGAGTTTAAGACCAGCCTGGTCTACAAGAGAAAGTTCCAGGACAGCCTCCAAAGCCACAGAGAAACCCTGACTCCAAAAACCAAAAGAAAAAAAAGCTGAGTCCAAGAGCCAAGAGAGGCACCCAGGAAAGCTGCAACTGTGCAGGGAGAAGAAATACCTGATTCTGGACTTGGAGGGGCTGATATTGCATGGACTCTGTCTGAGTGAGGCCCCTAACCATCTGTACTGCCCATCTGAACAGGGCTCCTGAACCCCCTATGAGAATACTTCTTGAAGAAGTAAACGACCTTGTGTTTCTAGTGCTTTCTGTCATCCTGTGTGTGTGTGTGTGTGTGTGTGTGTGTGTGTGTGTGTGT